TGTATAATGTATTAATTCATTTTAGAGTAACATCATTAAAGCTTTTTCTTCAGCTTCATAATTGGATGTTTTTTTTTTTTGTTTTTTTTTTCCTAGAGTTCTTCATGGATGGACTTGGCCAGTTGCTGGTTGCCTCCTGTGAAAGATTCACCATTGGCCACCAGGGGCATCGTTTTGAGAAAAAATATAGTCACTACAGGACCCAGACGGATGCTGATAAAAGAAAAAAACTCTCTCATCATTTCTTCAAGAACTATCTGAAATATGTCAAGTTCTAGAGGGTTTTTGTTTCAGCTTTAGCTTTGGAAGAAGTGCTTGATTAAAGCCATAACCAGGATTAGGACTGCTTTGCGTCTATGCGTTCATAATTTTTTTTCTTTAAGTTTTCTTTAGTTTAATTTATTTGGTGAATGTTGTTACACACGCACACATATGAATAATAAAAATAATATGTAAATTGCCCTCAGCTTGTTCTTATAGAGTCTGATCCTGAAATATTATGGTGGTGTGTTTTGTGAAAATAAGAGGAATAGGACTGAACTCGCTAAAATGTGGCAGCATATTCATTCATTTTCCTTTGGTTTAGTTCCTTATATATCAGGGCTCACCACAGCGGAATAAACCGCCAACTATTTTGGCTTATGTTTTATGTAGCTGATGCCCTTCCGGCCACTATGCAATACTGGGAAACACCCATGTACTCGCATTCTCACACACACACACTTGTTCACTATGGCCAATTTAGTTTACCCAATTCACTTAAACCACATGTCTTTGGACTGTGGGTGAAACCAGGGGACCCGGAGGAAACCCACACAAACATGGGGAGAACATGCAAACTCCACAAAGAAATGCCTACTGGCCCAACTGGGGCTCGAACCAGCAACCTTTTTGCTGTGAGGTGACAGTGCTAACCACTGAGCCACTGTGTTACCTCAGCAGCATACTTTTGTACCAAACTAAAACGTGCCCTAAAAACTAAGTTGGTTTTATCATTGCATTACCAGATCAGACCAAATGAATGAAAGTCCTTGTCTGCCTGCAAACTTAAAAAACTTGGGTTTTCCTCAACCTCAGGACAGTTTCTTTCCAGTCTTATAAGTGTCATGGCGAAATCTGGGGAGTAACTGAGATAATTGAATAAATAATAGATCATATTCTGCTAATGTATTTAGCTAAATGTTTTGTACTCGATGTAAGCTATTAAACTAATGGATTGAGAACAACAAAGTATATTAAATATCATCAACTTAATAACAATGGTCTTGTCCCTTTGTATCACTGTATTTTATTCAGCAGCTAGCTCTCTGCAACTCTCAAATGGTTACCCACTGAGGTTAAGCAGGGCTGTGCCTAGTCAGCTTTCTCATGTGGTCTCCCATCCAGGTACTAAGTTGATGCCAGAAGTGATGTTAGTGCTACCAACAGGGGTTGCCCTACCTGCGGCATGTGTGGGTCCTTATGCCCCAGTATATTGATGGGAACTGTTTACTGCTTAGTGAGCGCTGTCATTTGGAGGACAAAGTCCTGACTTTCTGTGGTCGTAAAAATCCCACTAGGCTCTTCTAAAAAAGAGTAGGGGTTTAACCCTGGCATCCTGCCCAAATTTGTCCACTGGCCTCTGTCCATAATGGCCTCCTAACTATCACCATATCATAATTGGCTTTATCACTCTGTCTCCACCAATCAGATGGTGTGTGGTGCACAGTCTCGCGCTATATAGCTGCAGACGTGTTAAACAAAAAAGATTCAGGTGGATGCTTCACACTGGTGGTGGATGAGGAGACACCCCCCCCCCCCCCCCTCACACCCAACCAAAACTTTTCAAATGGACATACATGTAATTTGAATTACTACTTGTGATTTGAAATTGTGGTTTGGTATTGGTGAATATTATGACTGTCCAACGCTATCTCACGGCAATTTGTAACATTTCGATTTAGTGGCTAGTTTGAATGAAATCGTACAATCTCATTTGTACAGTTTAGTACCATTTGCTTATCCACCAAAGACGGTTAGGTTTAGGGGTGGGCAGTGACAGATTTAGGGATGGGCAATGTGGGCGATTGCCCAGGGTGGGATCCTGCTTGGGACGGCATAGAGACCTCCCAGAGGGTGGCGTTGATTTTGCGCTGCTACTGGGGATGGTGTTGTGTGCCAAGCCTCCTTTTAAAAATCTCCTTTTCAAAATCGACTGAACTCTGAATTAGCCACTAAACTGACAAAATGTAAAATATTTACGTTTCGTCACAAGATCAGGCTGGACTGACAGATTGCTCAGAAACAAAAACGACACTCCAAAAATATGTTTGCTACTTGTTCAGACTACTTAATTAAAATGAGCTGAAACAAAACAATGCTCGAGATTTAAAAAAAAAAAAATATTATGTTTAATCTCCTTCAATTTGTTGCATTTAACTAATGTGACAACATGAATGAATTGTGTGGATACCTGCATTTTTTGCAGTGAGTATAGTGCTGTTTGTTGTTTTATTATTTTTTTTTATAAAGTATAGTGCACATTAAAAATGCTGTTTAATAAGAATGGCAGTATTTTATTTGAGAAAAATCTTGATTTTGACATTGATTAAATAGAGACTTTAATTACTTTGCACTGAAGTACTCAGCCTTGACAGGAAAACAGTTGAAAATAGCTGAGGTGTATTATTTTTGAACTCTAGCCAAGGAGTGGGATGAGATGAGCATGAGTTTGCACAGGCAATGTTGTCCTCATCTGCCCAGTGAAGATAAAAAAAAATCATTATTCATAAAAAAATTTGGTTTTTGAACTTCAACGCTGACTGTAGTGACCCATTGATGCCTATGTAGAAACTTTTTGTGCTTTTGAAAAACATTAGAACACCTTTATATGTAAAAAGTTGATTAATGTTGATTTTTAGACTGTAGGAGTTGATGTTTTCTTATATGTGTGCATTAAGAATATGCTTATTCTGTATTAAAGCCTTTTTGTGTTTTAATGTTTCTTTGTGTAACCATGTCTTTTATTTTGTAAATATAGCATCTTGAAAACCTATGGACATAATTAAATGACTGAATATTATGGTAAGTTCATTGATAAACGTTCACCCTTTATTCTTGATTGAACACATTTTAAACAGTTTTTAATCTTTTTTTATTATCATTATTCTTTTATGTTTTTATTTTCTTATACTTGTTTCTTTTATGCTTGACATGGTGGCTCAGTGGTTAGTTACTTTCGCCTCACAGCAAAAAGGTTGCTGGTTTGATTACCGGCTAGGTCAATTGGCGTTTCTGCGTGGAGTTTGCATGCTCCCAGTGTTTGCATAGGTCTCCTCCAGCTTCGCCGGTTTCCGCCACAGCCCAAAGACATGCTCTAAAGGTGAATTTGGTAAGCTAATTTGGCTGCATGTGTGTGAGTGTGAGAGAGCAGCTGGAAGGGCATCGACTGTGTAAAACATATGCTGGATAAGTTGGTGGTTCATTTCATTGTGGTGACCCCTGATGAATAAAGGGAATAAGCTGAAGGAAAATGAATAAATGTTTTAATAATGTTTTTTTTTTTTTTTTTTTTTTTTTTTTTACATCCCAGGACTGTTGCTATTGATGGAGGATGAGCGAACTCTCCAGGTGTCATGGGATTGGGTATGCATAGGTATGTTTCTAAACCAGGCAAATACAGTATATCTGCTATCTGTTAAAATGAAAAAAGGTTGAGTTACATAATATAGCAATTAAAAAAAAAAAAAAGTTGTAAATAGGTCATGACTCGATTTCGTACTGTTTTATATTAATATTAAGATTTTTTTTTACATTAAAATCAAACCTTATTTAGGTCTAATACTGTATTTTCTGCCTTGATTTGACCCACTCATCAAAGCACACAGTTTGAATTTGCATGTCAGATTGTAAACATATGTCTGGTGGCTGACAGTTATGCATATAAGTTTAATGTTGATTTAAAGTTTGAAAAGGCAATTGTGTCCATCAATGTACAGTAAAGTTATGCATGCATAATTGACAGAACATCAAAACTATTATTTTATGTTTCTCTTTTAACATTCTAGAAAGGTTTTTGAAAGTATGTATTTACAATGACATTATAGATACCCACAGTTGTAATGTTTGTGTCATCACTGCACTGTTTTCTGGAACAGGATGTGTGTGGTGACAGTAAGACTCTTCAGCCCAGCACTGGTGTAGCACTGATTTGAAAAAAGCATGTTTTTGTATGATTACCTGTGGTCTTTGCCATTTGTTTGCAGCAATTGGAAAGTATTTAGTAATGTTCTCTTGAAGGTGGTATTTATGTTAACTTTAAAATTAATATATTAACAACAATAAACATTTACAACCATATTAAAGAAACACTCAAAATATAAAATAGTTTTTGCAGCTTATTCAAAATACTTAAAATGAGCTGAAACAACACAATTCTTGAGAATTCATTGGGACAACCTAATTGTTTTGTGACAATCCACTTAAAATTGTAAAAACTAAAAAGCCAACTCCATGTTGTCCCTACATGAATCAGCATTTTTACAGTGAAGTTTATAGAGAGTCCAGCAGGTGCAATACAATAATAGGTCAGATGCCTTACAGTAATAAACCGTGTAACACGTATTTTTACAGCACAGTACTGTAATATTTTTACACTACACTCAAAACAATTGTTTGTTGTTTGCTCGGGCTACTTATTTAAAATGAGCTGAAACAACACAATTCTTGAGTTTTTATTTGGGACAACTTTATTAATATTTGTTAAGTCCATTTCAGTTTGTAAGAACTGAAAAGCTAACTTACAGTAATTCCTTCATGTTACAGTGTAGTATACTGCAATAGCAGATCACAGTAGCTACAGCAGTATGCCAGTAATTCACTCTTTGTTTGCAGGATTTATGTATCTTATGAATTTTATTTACAATGCATTAGTGTGCTTGGTTAATAATATACAGAAATTTGATGCCATCAAGATTCTAGCTAAGAGGAGTGGTGTAAAGCAGACTGCTCTACCACTGAACAAGGAAGAGGTTTTAGATGTACCCATAAGAGGAAGGAGCATGAGAATGTTTCTCACGGATGACAAGATCTTATTTGCTCGACAGATTTTCCTGATATGAGCATTTTACACCGGTAAGTACATTATGCCACACTTTTGCTTTTTTTCTGTATATAGTTTTTATTTTGCTAATTCATGCTGGTCAGCTAATGCTGGACCTACGGTTGATTATGAAATTTTTATGACTTTGACTGAGACTGCAGTTGTTTATGGCAAAGACGTATGCACACTTCTGTAGAATGCTTTGTCTGTAAGTTTTTAATCTGATTACTTTGTTTTTAGTACGTACGAGGTTCGATTAATCTTTAGTAAACAACCACAATGGCGGTCACACTTTACAATAAGGTTCATTAGTTAATGTTAATTAATGCATTTACTAACATGAACAAACAATGAACAATAGATTTACTACTGTATTTGTTCATGTTAGTCAATGTTAGTTAATGAAAATAGAGTAGTTCATTGTTAGTTCATATTAACTCATTGTGCATTAACTAATGTTACCAAGCATTGACTTGGATGTTAATAATGCATTAGTAAATGTTCAATTATGATTAATAAATGCTGTACATGTGTTGTTCATGATCAGTTCATGTTAGTAAATGCATGAACCTTATTGTAAAGTGTTACCACCATGGCTGTGGGACATGTTTAAAAATGGACTGATTTTTAAATCTTTTTTGTTTAACTGTTTACTATTTAACTATTTGTAAATAGTTACATACATTTACTACTTTAAAGAATAATTAAAATGAGCTTTCACTTGAATTATGCATTTAAATTATGCTCATGCTAAGCTGCACAGAATTTATCAGGTAAGAGAAAGTGAAGTCTACAACTTGTTACTTGAACTGGTGTTATGTGCAGTTTTCTTTTGTAAAAGATTTGCATTGCTGCAGTGTGTATATGACGATTGTGTGTTGTGAGCAAATAACTTTGAAATTCAGCTCGTTTACCTTAATTTTTTTTCTTTCATTCCTCTCATCACTTACGTTTTTTCTAATAAGGATGAAAAGGCATTATTAAAATTGTAGTATTTAAAAAAAATAGTGTGGTGAAGGGCTAAAAATTAAGTACTTTTGTTCATGACACAGCACTTTTTAAACTAGCTTGTAGCTTGTATCAATTCCGGTTCTTATTATTCTTCCGCCTTCTTCCGCTCTGGGAATCTATGGCAGTCCAATGAACCATTTGCGGCATTTGTGCATACTTCGGCACACTGATAAAGGACAGTCTGATCTTCAATTAAAACAAATTTGTACTCTCTAACTTAAACTCTGTAGTGCCACCACTTGTCCAAAGTTTCACTTATGTTTATTTTTGTTGCCCATTAGGTTCAAAAGTTATAATCAAAATTCTTTTCTCTCTAATTTCTTGGCACAAGCCGATTCAATTGCACTCTGACATCATTTTCTGTCATAAAAATGTGTTCGCTATTTTGAACTTTTTGTAAAACATGTTTTAACAAACTCTTCCTAGGCTGTTTGTTTGATTTTCACCCAAATTGAATTACATAATCTACAGACCATGCTGACCCAAAAGTTATTGAAGAATTCACGTTGATTAGACCAGTGGTTCTCAAAGTGGGGCTCGCCTGGTGATTTCCAAAACTCTTATTTATTTTTATTAAACCATAAGAATTACCAAATTTCATCCATAACCTACTGAAGAGAAAAAAAATATTTTGTTCATAGTTACCATATACTATATAGTTACTATAGTAGCTTTTACTGTTGTTACTAGTTCTATTGGATTGCGACCTCTCCCTGGGGTAATTACATAATATTAAAGACACAGCAATAGCGTCAGATGCTGCAAATTTTATAACACCAGGTTAAACTTTTTGGCCTATTTACAGCACTGACATACATTAAAAAAAATTAAACAAAGAATAGACTTGGGTCTATTGGTGTGTGTGTGTGTGTGTGTGCCATTGCATGCAAGGTTTCTGTATTTTTAACCACCTCAGAGTATATTGGCGGTCACAAATCACTGGCATTGTCATTTTGGGGGTCGCGGGCTGAAAAGTTTGGGAACCCCATGGATTAGATGAACCGTTTTCGATTAACTTACAAACAAATTCATCAGAGAGCTTAAGAAATTGACTTACTGTTATTTTTGTGAAATGTTGACATATTCACACAAAACTTGTGTGTTATTACAACCATGGTCTGAAGTTGGCTGCAGCATTTCGGCGCACTGCCCCCTAGTGGTCTGGAGATACAAAATGGCTTTTTTATATAACTTCTCTACCCTTTGTTCAAAATTCATAAATTTTACATCTGCCAGAGCATGCCGAGTCGATGTATGTCTGATTTTCCTAGGTCAGCCATATTGGCCATAGACCATTTTTAATTGTCAGAATTTGTTATACTATGCAAATTGTTATGGAAGTTGGTATATCAAAAAGTTTTATCACAGCGCCACCTTTTGATCAAACGTTATAACAATATTTCTAAAAATGCAATTGTTATAAAACTTATCTTGATTCATTCCTTGGGTTGTCCTGAGAATATTGATAACAATTATGCCTTAATTAACTGAACTTCCTCTCCACCACATAGCCTTTAGTCAAAAACCTACTTTTTCGAACGCCTCCTACATCGTTTAGCTGATATGCACCAAATTTGACTCAGATAATCTTTAAACCATGCTCAAAAAGTGATTGAAATAGAATATTGCAACATCTATATTAAAATGTTCTGTAATTTAGGTTTGCAAGAAAAAGAAATAATCTGCTATTGAGATATTCAGGCAGGGCAAGTTTATTTGTATAGCACATTTCATACACAAGAGTAATTCAAAGAGCTTTATATGAACAAGAATACAATAGAGAACATAAAAGTGAAATAAAAAGGGTTTTATGGTGTCTGAGGAGTCTAACTCCCAGAAAGAGTACATAAATTGAATATTCAAATGTTAAACAGCACTGCATAGTCTTCCTTGTACAAATAATTCAACCAAATTAATTGTTATTAAAGTTCTAAGCAATTACATTTTTTTGTGTTGCACGCTTTGTAAAGCTCAGTTGTTAAACTTTACCAGATATTAGTCTGTTGGCTAATTGATGTGTGCATGTTTATATATATATATATATATATATATATAATTTGAATGAAATTGAGTGAATTAAAAGTTCTAATTTAAAAGTTTTTCGAAAAAATTAAATTAATGTTTATATTACATTTGATTATATCAAAACATAATGCTACAATAAAGCAGCTTCATAGGGGTCTGAAAAGTTTATTAGCTGTACCATTTTGAAATCTCTTGAGGCCCTTCAAAGTGGCCAGTTTTGAGCACTTTGGAATGACATCAATATGGTGACCACGATGGCTTGTCATTCTAAAGTGTCATTCCCCAACAAACTTGAGATGAAAGCAAGTTTTTTTTTTTGTTTTTTTTTTGCCTTCTGCATTTTTTTTTTTTTTTTTTGCAAAAAATTATTTTACCTGTCTTTTTATTTCGTATAGCTGAATAATTTTTCACCAGAATTCCAGTGTAATTATTTGAGTCTGCTTGTTATTTCAGATTATCTCATATGATGAAAGTTAAAAACCGCTTGAAGGTGGTTTTAGTCCTGATGTTGCTCAGTTTACTGATTTTCCTGTTTATACAAAGTGAAGTGTTCGACAGGATGCCAACATTCCGGTAAGCAGTCACTTTTTTCCATTCTGTATATAGCTGAAGTATGAATTATTAGACTCTGTGTTTTTTACACCCAATTTCTGTTTAACAGAAAAAAAATCAAGACATTTCTAAACACAATAGTTTTAATAACTAATTTATAATAACTGATTCCTTTTATCTGTCATGTTGACAGTGCATAATATTTTACCAGATATTTTCATGATACTAGTATTCAAAGTGATAGTTAAAGGCTTATAGCCAAGTTAGCCAAGTTAAAAATTTATCTTGTTAAAAACCTAAAGTGACACTTTTGAAAAAGTTATTTTATTTACCAGCTAATAACTTTATCGTAAGATATAAAAGGACACTTCTAGGAACCTGAAAATGCTCATTTACAAGAAAGCAGGTCTGATGGATTTAGAGGATTTTGCATCTGAACTCTTCATATGTAGTACAATATTATGTGCTGTCATGATGGCAAAGATAAACTAAATCAGTTATTACAAAATAGTTATTAAAACTGTAATGCTTGGTGTTAAAAATCTTTTCATTAAACAGAAATTGTGGGAAAAATATACAGGGGAGCTGTAGTCAAATAATTCAGGAGAACCAATAATTCTGACTTCAGCTGTAGGTTTTATATACAAAAAACTGCTTATTATTGGATTGATTTAATGAATTTATGTATTATTGTTGTTGTTGTTGTTATACAAATTTTAAAAGCAATGAATTTAGGATTTTAGGATTTAGATTTTTTAACATTTAAATCAGGGCTGGCCAACCCTGTTCCAGGAGAGCCACCTTCCTGCAGATTTCAGTTGCTACCCATATCAAACACACCTGAACTAATTAATTAGTACCTGAACACCACTTTATAATTACAGGCAGGTGTGTTTGATATGGGTTGCAACTGAAATCTGCAGGAAGGTGGCTCTGCAGGAACAGGTTTGGCCACCCCTGATTTAAACTAAAAACATGAGAAAAAAAATCCAATAAACATTTAATTTAATAATAATACTTAATGTAATTTTAGAAACTTTTTTTTCTTTTGCACAAAGTTCAGTGTGTAAAATGGCTATCAGACACCCACACTGGCTTTCATTTTGCTGAGAATAGCAAAGTTAGGAAAGCCTAGTTTCATTGTGGTCAAATGACCTGGTTAAAGACTGAAAAAATGAGACTGAAATATACCAGCACGATGAATGACTTGTCATTTACAATGAAAATAGGTAAAAAAAATAGGCTAAAATAGGCTATTCTTTTATTTTTGATCATACAGAAGAAAATAATACATTATTCAGAACTCTGAGAATTTCACTTTAATTTAACAAACCATTTGCCTTTTTTATGAGAGCGATAGAGTGAACAAACAGGATGTTCTTTTAGGCGCAGTCTGTCACACAGTTTGTTAAATTAGGTTTGTTAATGTATGAATTACCGTAAATGAAACATTTTATTGTATGACATTTAATGTATTATACTGGTATTTTTATTAGTCATTTATTAAATAATTTGAAAGAATAAGTTAATTTTACAACTCCCTGTTGAATTTAAGTTTTACACAGCAGCAAATGGTCAGACTGTATTACCAAAACATACTTCTTTTATTTGTTTCAGAAGATTAACTTTCATGGATTAATCATTCATCTAAAGCATAACAACATCCGCTAGCAAAATAAGCATGGTAACTTTAAATTTCACACAGACTTTAAAGCTTGACTCTTCTGTATAAACATTAAAACCGAAGGAAAGTTTGTTTTTTTTTCTTCATGTGTTCTTGTTGTTTCTCCTCTAAAATGCAGGTAGATTTTATGAAAAACACAACATTTTTCACAAAAAAACAAAACAAAACAAAGTAAAAAGCATTTTGGGCAAGTTGACCAGGTCCAAGATATATACAGTAGCATATAATACGTCCACTACACCATTACCCTTATGCATTCAACTGCTGGCTTTTGTTCAGAGTTTCAACTTTCATTTTACAATTAGATTGTATCTTTACTTCTATTTGTCTGATCACTTACCTGGCAATGTAAATGTTGACATTATTCTGTTCAACAGTGCCAGTCCTGAACATGACATGGCCTCAAGGTAAAATGACTTTGAATATTTGCTATAGTTCGTATTAAACAGCTCCAGATTATATGGTCTGCTTGAACTGCGGTCTTTTTCTTCTTGTCGTGTTTGACTGAACTCTACAGGTTAAATATTACTTGTGAAGGAGCTGATCTCACCAGGCAGTTCGTGCCAAAAGATCAACTAAATGATCTACTTGAACGCAGAGAAAAGGAGTATAAGCAAAGTAAACTCAGGTTAAAATCTCTTCATTTCTTCTGCGGTCCTGTAAACAAAAAACCACCACCATGTTAAGATGAAATACATGCTTGTATAGCGAGTTTGCACCCTCATATTACATCTAAACAGTGGTGAAATGAGAACACTTAAATGGTTGTTCTTTCTTCTTTTGATATTAATTTCTTCATGCATTGTGTTTTTTTAATCTCTCAGGGTGAAAACAGATGCAGATATTCTCATCGCCCCGGCCAACTCTCCTCTACAATATCCTATAACAGGTTTTAGGGTAGTTCCTCTGAAGAAAAGTATGATACCAGGTTAGCAAGGCTTTTTCTTTTAACCTCTATTTATTAATCAATATCATTCACTCCCAGTAATGCTGGGTTAAAGTAAGCTTAGCTGAATTAGTTACCTATAATGTTGGGTAAATAGTTGACAGAAGAATAAATGTGTGTTGAGTTTTATACACAATTTCATTTTGTTTTGTTATTAAAACTCATATTTTGATAATTGTTCACCAAAACACCTGATATTTTGTTAACAAACCATTATTTAAAGGTTTAAATTCTGAAAATGTATCTTTGGTAAGAGGTTTGGTATTAGAACTCATGCTTATGACAAAATTGACGTCTGTGAAAGACATTTTTTTATGCACAAGGATTGAACTGTTTTGTCAGCTGATTTAGCCCACAAACCATCACAAGTAGCATTTACAATACTAAATCCTAAAATTCAGCATACAATTTAGAACTAAATACTGCATTAGATATTGCCAGGGATTAGGAACATATTGGGCCTTGGGGCTATAGCCTCACAAAATTAACTTTTTTATATTATTAATTTGCTATTTTATATTATTATATAATCTAATTTTGGCGACACAGTGGCGCTGTAGGTTGTCGTCTCACAGCAAAAAGGTCGCTGGTTCGAGCCTCGACTGGGTCAGTTGGCGTTTCTGTGTGGAGTTTGCATGTTCTCCCATTGTTCAAGTGGCTTTCCTCAAGGTGCTCCGGTTTCCCCCACAGTCCAAAGTCATGTGGTACAGGTGAATTGGGTAGGCTAAATTGTCTGTAGTGTATAAGTGTGAATGAGGTTTTATGGATGTTTCCCAGAGATGGGTTGCAGCTGGAAGGGCATCCGCTGCGTAAAACATATGCTGGATAAGTTGGCGGTTCATTCTGATGTGGCGACCCCGATTATTAAAGGCTGAAAAGAAAATGAATGAATGAATAATGTAATTTTCCACTTGATTTATATTTTTAATGTTTTCTATTTACTAAAGTAGGTGTAAAAGCGTACATAATTTATTTAAACTTTTAAAATTTTAAAATGCCTGCCAAATTCAATAAAACAGCAACACACATTTGCAATACTTTCTAAATGAGCGCTTCACAATAAACACTTTATTTTAAAAAAAGAGCAGAAACCCCTAAAATATCTGTAAAATCCATGCTTCTAATTTCCCATTTGGTCTAATCAATTACACAAGTTTTTTCCCCCTGAGATATACTGTCCAGCAGCAATATTTCATTGCTCCGAATTATTACTCTCATTTTTATAAAAGGGGAAATCAATTAATATAAAGGTTTGCTTTCTAACTGGTACAGTTAGACTTAAACCATGTATTTTCTTGAGGTAGATACTCTGCAGCAATGGACATTTTGATGTCTGTGTAGGCTATTTGATGTGTTCGCACATTGTCTCTGTTATGAGAGGGCAGAATGGTGCGGGTGCGCGGCCGCTGCTGAGACAGTGCCTCAGTTATGAGTCCATTCTGCATGATTCTGCCTATCCTGAGCTTTCTTGCTGCACGTTAATAACGGATACTGTTTGAATTATATTTTTTGTTTTATGATGTGCTTGGTTAGCTTACCTTTGACTGGACCTTTCTCGTGATAGAGCTGAAATAAGGAGCTGTTTTAGGAATTAGGGGCTTTTCCTGCGCTCTCAGAAATAAAGGTACGCAAGCTGTCACTGGGGTGATACCTTTTGAAAAGGTACACATTTGTACTTGAAGGGTTCATATTGGTACCTCAAAAGTAAATACATACCCTAAAATTTTAAGAGAAAACACTTTTGTACTTATTAGATACTAATATGTACCCTTCAGGTCTTGGTACTAATTTTTTATTTTATATAAAAAAAAAAAGTAACCACCCCAGTGACATCTTGCGTACCTTTATTTCTGAGTGTAAGTGTGGGGGAAAAACACGACATCTTTTTTACTCTTACTGCGGATTAAATAGGGCTATTTAAAACTCTGATTAAGCTACAGCCACTTCGAGCCATAGCATCACTGTTTTTGAACACCAGCAAGCCGAAATCAATACTTCACATTATCGAACTTCCTCTTGCGAGCCCTGGGGATTCAGACCTGCCTAGCCCTTATGTTTATGCAGCTATGGATACTGCATTAGTATCTAGGTCAGAACTATGCATTTGAGCATGCACTGCAGGTACTTAGCAAATAACTAAATTAGTTTGGTCCACTCTATTTGTAAAAACAGGGAAGTATTGTGATAAGCATGCAGGGCCTTTCTGGGTTTTACTTCTACTTTGTGAGTTTGCTTCAACCAGTAATAAAAGAAAAGTAATGTTGAGATTATGTGAAATAAATATGCTTGTTTGTTTGTTTGCTTTATTTATAAAGCACATTTAAAAAAAACAACAGATGTTGACAAAAGTGCTTTACAAAACAACCAACATACAAAAAATACAATTTCTCTCTATATATAAACAAAATCTTTAAAACTAATTAAAATTAATTATTTAATTACAATCAAAAGCAAGAGACAGAAGGTGATTTTTTTTAAACGAGACTTAAAAGCACCAAACGAAGAGCATGACCTGATATGTAATGGCAGTCCATTCCACATACGAGGGGCTGTGACAGAAAAAGCCGTCACCTTTTGATTTTAACCGTGATGAACAACTAGCTGAAACTGATTGGCCTCAATGAAGTGTGCCAGTGAAGAAGCTCACCAATGTATGTAGGTGCCAGACCATTCAAACCTTTAAAAACAAATAACAATAGCATGTATTGAATCATAAATTGAACTGGGAGCCAGTTATGGGATAATAAAACTGGTGAGATACTAGACATTTTTTTGTCCCAGTTAAAAGTCTAGCAGCTGCAAGCGTAGAACTGAAGCAGGCAAAACTCCTGAATACAAAGAGTTGCAGTAGTCCAATCTGAACATAATAAAAATGTTGATAATGGGTATCGCTGATTAAAATGATATGATTTGTATTACTGAGCTTGCTTTATGTAAGAGCCAGCTTACTGTATTTCTGAAAGGTATAATTCACCCATAAATGTTGCATCAGACACCATTATGCAAACTCTCCGTGGTTAATAATTCATTCAATTAAAAATAAAAATGCTCTAGGTTATGTACAGGTAGTTTACTAACTGAAAATAGCCTAATCTCGCTCGATTTAAAGTGCAGCTTATAGATAAATAAAAAGGTATCATTTGAAACTATGAATTTTGAGACATTGAGACTTTCCTGTTGAAATAAACAAACAAACAAACAACAAACTTTCCTGTATTTAAAGTACTGGTTTGATGGTATATACTGTTTATGAAGAGTTCAGATGGAAAAGTCTTTAAGTGGCATTTGAAATTCTTTTAAAATTAGCTTTTTTTCCTCAAGCTCAAATGTTTATGTTCAGTTATTTAACTTTAAACTTAATGAAAATAACCTATTCTGTGCCATTATTGTGAAATTACTAAACCTACACATGCAGCAACCAGAAAAAAAAAGTTTGATTTAGAAGAACATGTCAGATGCCACTTTTCATAAGCTTTTGCATCTGGTCTCTTTATTCATACATATTGCACACAAGAAAATAAATATTTTCCGTTCCATAACCAAGAACATTGTTTTTAATATACTCACTTCAGGTCTTGCCCTTCGAGTAAAAAGGACAAGTGCACGAACAAATAGTGGGCAGTACAAGGTTTGTTGGTTTAAATTGAAGCAAACTCTGGAATCTTACATTTTGATTTAATTCCATTTCAGTTGTGATTTTACAGTACTTTATGTTTTTATATTTAATGTGCTTTAAACCCAATCAGGTGTCTTTGAGTGTGATGAGTGGTGTGCTCTCAGTGGAGGATGTTCAGGATGGACAGCAGGTGGATGGACAGGGCCAGAGTGAACTTACCATCTCATCCAGCAACCTCACACAACTCAATGATCTGCTGTCCAGAGTGAGCTACACCAGCACCGTCTACCACATTAGAACATCAGACCTGGGTGAGGACAGCAGACACACTCACTTTATATTAAGCAGCTTGCTCAAGCTATGAAATGACAGATTAACAACCACATTCTCACTAAAATGACCAGATGTTCCAGTTACTGAACCACACTGTTCCAGTTACTATGACCATTTATGTGAAGCTGCTTTGACACAATCTACATTGTAAAAGCGCTATACAAATAAAGCTGAATTGAATTGAATTGAATTGAAGATATTTTCTTTAAAATATACTTCAAATGTGGTGTTAAGAAATAAAGTGCCACAGTGTTTCAGAGATAAAATGGAAAAAAAGCTTTTATGCAAGCTACCACTAAAATGAGTTAATCCTGAATAAACTCACACATAGTGTTATGGCTATTTACAAAATATTAGTTAACCCTGGATCATGTGTGTCTCATTTGTCTTTATGTTTGATGTTATTGGTCACGTGATTCATATTTTGCACATCCAAACTATCGTTAAGTGTACATAATGTGAATTGACGCACCCTGATTTTCACAGTGCATTTTGAGACTTTTTTTTGAGCGCACTAGAATAATTTTGCAATTGAGACGGCACTTAAAATGGCTGACACCCTGATCAGTGCACTGATTACTGTGTTGATTGAGATGTATGCAGTGATTTCATCCATCTTAGCCACTTGGTTCCAATTTCTTACTAAATAATCAAGTTAAATTTTTTAAATTTGTTAATCAACTGAAGTCAAAACTAGTACTTAAATGGTAGCAAGTCAATACAAAAAGTATTTATTATATGTTGATAATATTTTGTTCCTCATTGGTGGACAAAATACACAAATTAAATGGTTGAGTAAAAGTGAAAAGACCTTAATCGGCTCCCCTGCCCCTTTAATCAGTAATAGGAGTGTCCTTTCATTCATATCAAAGTGCCTCTAGTGCTGGATGCCTTCGTTTAATACCATAATTAAATAAAGTACCAGAATCCTCTCTTCAATGTATTACTATGTTTCGTTTTTTCAAGGAGTATTTAGATTTAGGCGTCACAGTGGCACAGTAGGTAGTATGATTGCCTCACAGCAAGAAGGTTGCTGGTTCAAGCCTCGGCTGGGTCAGTTGGTGTTTCTGTGTGTAGTTTGCATGTTCTCCCCATGTTCGTGTGGGTTTCTGCTCCGGTTTCCCCCACAGTCCAAAGACATGCGGTACAGGTAATTTTTATGAAATAAATTGGCCGTAGTGTATGTGTATGAATCCAGGGGTGTATGAGTGTTTCCCAGCGTTGAGTTGCAGCTGGAAAAACATCAGCTGTGTAAAACATATGCTAGATTGGTTGGTGGTTCATTCCACTGTGATGACCACTGGTAAATTTAGGGACTAAGCCGAAAATAAAATGAATGAATGAACAAATGAATGAATGAATAATTCGATTCATATCTTACCACAAGGTATCTTGATGGATTCTGCGAATGATGCAAATGTCCTCTCCAGGAAGAAGATGAATAAAAATACACTTTTATTAGTAAAACAGATCCAATGCTAAAGTTGAGTAAAACAAATACAAGAGCAAAACAAAGTCCTTTACCTTATTCTGTACTGAGAACAAAGGGCTTAGGACTTAAAATATACAGAAGTCGGTTTAAGCTCTCTGCTGGTATTCAAGCCTATAAACACAGGTGTCCTTTTTAATTTAGAATAAGGATATGCTTTATCACTGTTTGGACAAACGTTGACCATACACTTGCAAAAAAATTTGTTAAAACTCAAAAATGTTTATGCAGAAAACAAAACTACAGATTTACTCTACTCTTTGTTCTCTAGAGCAGAGTAAATAATCGTCTAGGGTCATACACTTGTTGAACTTGTGTTAGAAATCATAGCAAAGAGTTTTTGTTATTATGTCATCTTTTGGGCAGTTTGCCCAGGGTCTCCTCTGTCATGGCCATAGCTCCTAGTTGATGAAGAATATTTTCTTTAACAGAAAAATTTCCCAAACCTCTTCCAGCCTTTGTTTGTACTAATTTGTTAGGAGTGTCAACTGAACTATGCCCTCCTTTATTGCAGGCAAAAAACTGACCCACTTCAGTAAGTCTTCCTTGAACTCTGTCGAAGGCGTCTGTCGCCTCTTATGTTTCTTCTCATCTCTAATACTATAGCTGTTTCAGCAAGCATAAGATTATCAGAATTTTCAGAGTTCACATTTAGCTGATGATTAATTATTTAGCGTTTTTGACATGATGTCTCGGGAGAGAGCCCTGAGCTCAGAATATCCTCAAGCCTTGGGCTCCCTTCAGTTTGAAGGGTGTTTGATGAGTTTGAGCTCTGGTAGGTCTCGAGAACTCCCCTGCTTGTGAATGTGTTAGGAATAGCTATGAGATACAGCTGACTAAGAGTTGTCTATGATGCCACTTTTGATTAGTTAATTTACTTACTGTATATTGTATGTCTTTGGACGATGGGAGGAACCTGGGGAAAACCCATGCAAACATGAGAAGAACATGCAGCCTCAACACAGAAACGCCGACTGGCTCTGTAAGGGATCGAACCATTGGCATTCTTGCTGTGAGGCAAAGAAAAAGGGGGAGGAGTAGGGATGGAAGGGAGGATTCTTCAAGACGAAGATGACTGGAGTGAAAAACTCTGGTTATTTATAGTGATTATACTGTAGTGGATGTGGGACCAGCCATGATCAATCTTAAGCGCATGAAATGAGTTTATAAATAAACCACACATATAGGTGATGTTTTGTGTCTTTTACAGTTAATATTATTAACCATCCAGACATCACAACCTCCAATCTGAATACAACTGTGCTTTTGATTTCAGGAACAGGGTTTCATAATTCTTGGTCAGACACAAGTTTCTTAATTAAGCATTTGAAACATTGCTTTAGGTTAAACATGGGGTTTAGGACAAAGAGCACTGACAGGAACTTGTAGATGGTTTGATCTTGTGATTGAAATAAAAAAAAGTGGTTGAGACATTCCTGACTGAATTGGCCCTTTGAATAAACTGGTTGAGTAAATGGTTCAATTACTCATAAAGACAGTTAGTTAGTGACTAATCATTTGCTTATCAATAACAGTAAACTGACGACTAGTTTTAATAATCATTCTAATTCTGTGAGTGCTGGTCTTTGCAAGTGATGTAACAAAGTGAAAAAAAAAGAGAAAGAATAATTTTTTTCCATCTTTTGTACAGAATAAACCAGGGGTGCCCAAATTTTTTCTTATGAAGGGCCAAAAACCAAATTTTATTAAGGCTAGTTGGCCAAAGGTAAATATAGTTGGCTTGGGTAATTTCATTATTTATTTAATAATATATAAAAAAATTAATAAAAACATTACTTTATAGTAACTAATTAAAACAAAAAAAATCACATTTATAACAAAATGGAGTTTGCTCGACGATGTCTTCTGCATAGTCCTCTATTTGTCGAGTGACGGTATTGACATTTTAAAAACTCTGATTTAGTTGCGTTTAATTGAAACATTTAATTTCTGTTAGATTATTTTTTGTGACTTCAATATAAAACAAACAAAAAATAGAAGGTTATGTCAAATCAGAAATGACGATCTGTTAAAGGCATTGCCTCAACCCTCTCTGTTGTTTTCAGATGGGATGGCCCTACTTTGGGCATCTCTAGCATAAACATTCATAGCCATATAAAACATTCAATTTTAAAAGGATAGTTCACCCAAAAATCTTTCATTATTTACTCACCCTTCACTTGTTTAAAACATGATAGCATTTCTTTCCTCTGCTCAACACAAAAGAAAAAAATGTTGGTTGCTCGGACCAATTGACTTCGATACTAATTGTTTTTTCTACTATGGAAGTCAATGAGTGCCAACAACCAGCTTTCTTCAAAGTTTTTTCTTTTGTGTTCAACATAAGAAAGAAGCTCAAAGGTTTAAAATCACATAAGAGAGAGTAAATAATGAGGTAATTTTCATTTTTGGGTGAACTATCCCTTTAATTCATTCATTCATTTTCCTTCGGATTACACTCTATTTTAGAGGTCGCCACATAATGCTATCAACTCTTCATAAATACCAATAATATCTTTGATTATCTTTCCCTAGCCTGTTTGTCTTTTGAGGACCATGAAGCCAAATTTCCAATCATGATTAGGAGACCAACAGTTCCTGTTCTGTATGACCCAGGAGAAGGTAAATAAAACACACACACCCACACACACTGACATCAGATTTGCTAAAAAAAACGGCAATGTCTATGATGTGTGCATAAAGCTAAAATCAAGCTATCCTGATCAAATTGTAGCGCCGTTTTTCATATTATTAACATCTCTTGAAGAACCCTTTTGATTTTATTGCATTTCAGATATCAACTCACAGGTGACCATATTAACCAAGACGTTTTTGAGATACAAGGAGCTGAATGTCCTCATCGAGAGCATCCGGAAGTTTTACCCCAAAATCAAGATCATCATTGCAGACGACAGTCTAAACCCTGAACGTGTGTCCGGAGACAACATAGAGCACTTCATCATGCCTCCTGCACAGGTAACCACTTGCACTGAGCTGTTGCTGTTTACACCAGATGTGAACATGCAGTCAAGTGCATCTCTTGTATTCTTCATGTGGAAGAGGATCTGGTCAGGACATTGATGATGCTACTGAACCAATAAGTCAGCCTTGTCCTTTTTTATGTAGACAATGTGGTGGCAAAAAAAGGAATTGAAGAACTGCAATAATAGGGGGAAAAGGTTTCAGGAACTGTAATTGGTTGAAACTGTAGTTGTACAGCAAGAAATTGAAACAGCAGGAGCGTGACCACCAACTGACATTTTTAACTACAAGCAAGGGTGTAGAATTAGCATAGATGAAGGTAATGTGTCTCAAGCAATATCCACCGATTAATTAATTGTCCCCAAACTTAATCCCCTTCAAAAATAATAATAATAATAACACAACCAACCTGATTTCACCAAGTAGGACATTCTACAATCAGTACAATCATTCTACATTCTACAGTACAATATTCCAATCAGCCAGTCAGAATTAAGAGGTATGTTTACTAATAATGTCAAGTTTAGGCTTACTGTTTATGCACTTCTGTATGATTGTTATTCAACTATTAATTTTTATTTAATTTTCATTTAACTAATAATTTACAGTTATGGTTGGGTTTAGGACTTGGTAACTGTGGCGGTTCTAGACCAGAGTAACTGGGTGATCGGGCAGGAGCCACTTGTACTTTTAGGGGGCACATTTTAACATACATCACAAACTACTTAAACAATTATTCAAAGTAATTTTTTTACATGCATCACGCTGCAGTCTTCATAAATAAGCTAATTAAATAAACTTAAAATAATTTTCCATGTTAATTTATTTGACAAGTAGCTTTGTATTGTAGTAAGATAACACATTTTTAACATTCAAGTACATCAAGGCACGTTTGGGCACCTTAACAGATGTAGTTGAAGTCATTTTTTCCCTCCCATCATTTAAAATAATATTTACCAAGTGACCTTTAACAAACCAAGGAAATTTTCACAGTATTTCATATAAAACAAAATACTGTTTTAAGGTCAGTGTCATTAGCCTTCTTCAGAAATATTTACTGTTTATTTTTTGATCGTCTACACAACAAACCAGTTATACCTTGACTAATTATTCCAACTTTCCTAGTTAACATAACCTAGTTAAGTCTTTAAAGTACACTTTAATCTGAATAGAACTATCTTGCAAAATAACTAGTAAAATATTGTGCAGTAACTGTCACCATGGGAAAGACAAAAAATAGTTATTGGCAATTAGTGTTTTTAAACTATTATGTGTTGTAATAAATCATGTGTTTGAAGATTCGTGCTTTATATAACACAATTGCAAACAAAAATGAATGATGGCAAAACTAAACGAGTTGAATATTACTTTTACATGAGCGTGAATGAAAACTAAAATTTTATTAATGTGTTACATCTGTTCTCCAGTACTTGCAGACTGTTTGTAAATTTCATAACGTAAAACTATGTGCACTCAATTTCCGATTAATATTAGCCTATAATAAGAGAAAAATTGCTATTGAAAACAAAGGTCTAATATAATCAACGTGTGTCAATTTGGGACTTAACTTCTGATGAATGTGGGTAACTGATGCACGCAGCATCGTCACTGACAAAAGTCAAGTAAAAAAACGCAGAGAGAGAGCGAGTGCACGCGACACCGAGAGCACACAAGAGAGGCCTCTGTAATATCTTGTGCATTTTAAATGAAGCCACGTCATCGCTAAATTGAACATTTTCTCTTTCTTTAAAATATATAAACAACCCAAACAAATGCAATTGACCAAAATGTTTGACACACACACACACGCATACTATCCCGTGAAAACATTGATTGAATAAGTGTCACAAAGTGAAAATAAACTGGCATTTTGAAATGACAGAAAAACACATATGGTACATACTACACAACACAAACTAAATGAATGAAACGTATCTACTCCCGATGTAGCCTTTGCCAACTCTAATTAACCTAGATGTGCAGAAAAGGTTAAAATAAATTTTTTACTCGAGTGTACCTCCGCCAAACACAAATGGGCTGTGTGATTGGCTGTCTCTTTCCCTGCTGTAGCAGTACCATACCTGCAAGGACATTTTCCAGTTCGATATAAAGGTTAGGCTCTGTTTACACTAATACGTTTTAGTTTTAAAACGGCCTTTTAGAATGAAAACGATCCACATCCACACAATCGTTTCACCCAGCATTTCTGAACAACTCTCCGTCTACACCACACCACACCACTAAAAACGCACATCACGTGACCACGCACACACACACTCTGGCATGCGCTGCAGCATATCTACTCAAATGAGAGCTGTGTTCGTCGGACTGTTCATCAAGGATCTACCGCTGGATCTAATCTCACTATATTTGGTAAACATGATATTTAATTCATCTTGTTGTCTATATCTAATGACATATTCCCCAACTTTGGTCTTTGGAATCTATTACTTGAAACGTGTTTTGGCTGAGAGCAAAGATAAGTCAATAATTAATGTAACCACGAGCGTTCTGTATATTGGCTGATTGCTTGCTTTTATTTATTAGTGTGTAAGACTTGGCCGATGTAGGTGACACATGGGTGTCTAAGGCAAGTGGGAAAATGGTGGACATGACCTACTTTCCAAAAAAAAAAGTCAAGTTCTACTGTGGGTCTATGCAACTGATAGAAACTCAGTTTAGATTTTGGTCACCGACAGTTATGGAAAAACAATAATCAAGAAAAATTGATCATCCCATTTTTTTAGTTCCTCCGCAAAGCCCAATTTTAGGGAAATCGTGTGACTTTTGCATCACGGTGTGTGTTTAAAGTTATTATAGTGTATTAGATTAGAAGCACGAAAGAGATCTTGTGCTGTTGTGTTCATGCGCTCAGCCTCAGGGACAGCACAACAAACACACATTGTAAAGTCACCTTTTAGCTCAACTAAATGGTCATGCAAAAATAAGTCCAGATGCAATGCTTGGTGATTATTCACATAAACCCTCAACTTTGTCAATCATTAGTTTAACATTCCTTTAATATTACAGTACATTAGCATGTTGTGTTCGGGGAGGTGATATTAGATTTAATGTTGGACCAATGTCAAGTGCAAAGCTACGTGACTGGCACGAAGACAACAGAGTGACATTATTAAGCAGAGCTTTGTAACTTTAAAGTCTGTGGGATTCTGTGAAAGCTATTACCAACAAGGGAACCAGTAGGAAGATTTTTATTTCGTTGGAGGACAATCAAAAAGTGAATCAACTAAATGAATGTATTGTAGGTTTGAATCCGATGAACAATATCAGGATGTGCGGGGTGTGTCCCACATAACCGGGAGCTGCAAGAACACACAGTGCAGTCTGTTTTCTAACAGCTGTGTACCAAAAAGTCTATGGGGCCATTTCAAAAAGCCCTTTGAAAACTTGGTGGTTTGTTTGTCAATCATTCATAGATATGGCCTGTGGAAAAACACACCATTATCACACCTCTTCCAAGGAAACCATGTGTTTCAACAGTTTTTACAAACAATTTTAGTTAACGAAACATATTCAGTGTTGTCACAAAGTTTAGTGTTAGCACAGCTTACATTGGGCCCCGTTAATAAGTTTTACTATGGTTACACCTTCTGTCCACACTACCCCAGAGTTTTCGAGCCCCGAAAATGGAGTGTTTTGAAAACACTGATGAGGCCATTTTCATTTTAAAGCGCTGCTGTTGCGTGTCTGTATTGATGGGGGAAAACAGATTAGATTTGTCCACCTGTTGGGTTTTGGACCATATGAGGCATAAGAATAGGACATGTGTTTAGATATAACTATTATTTGACCATACTTTGTTGTTATTGTTCATTTATTGGTTTGCTGAAAATTAGAACAGAAGTTAGAAATTGTTTTGAAACAAATCTTTGCAATCAACAAACAAAATTAAATATGTAGGCTAATGGATGTCTTTAGTGGAGTGCGTACAACACCGTTTCCTTATCTGCGAAAGGAGTAAAGAAACGAGGCTAAATAGAGGAGGCTCATTTGTTCTTCATCCTTGCACTGCAGATGGTCTGTTTAACTGTTTTCTCATTAGTGAAGCATTCAGTTTTTCCACTTACAAAGTCCGCCATGTAAATAGCAAATGTGTCATGGCTTGACGCAACTGACTCTTATAGGGAATGGGAGATGATACTCTGATTGGTTTAATGCTCAAAACACACCTATAACTCATTAAGAGAATAAGAACAACTCTGTTAGACCAGGGGTTCCCAAACTTTTCAGCTCACCACCCCCAAAATGACAATGCCAGTGACTTGCGACCCCCAATATCCACTGAGGTGGTTAAAAATAAAGAAACCTTGCATACAATGGTGCACACACACCCTTAGACCCAAGTGTATTCTTCATATTATTTTTTAATGTATGTGAGTGCTGTAAATGGGCCAGAAAGTTTAATCTAGTGTTATAAAATCAATCTGCTGCATCTGACGCTATTGCTGTGTCTTTAATATAATGTAATTACCTCAGGGGTCGCAATCCAATAGAGCTAGTAACTATAAACTATATAGTATAGTAACTATAAACGACTGTTTTTCCTCTTCAGTAGGTTATGGATAAAATATGGTAATTCTTATGGTTTAATAAAAATAAATAGAGTTTTGGAAATTACCAGGTGACCCCCCCACCCCCCCTTCATTCCCCCGCGACCCCTTGACCCCCACTTTTAGAACCACTGTGTTAGATCATGCAGACTGTATTTTTCCAGACTATTGTTTTTGCCCTTAATGCTTTTCAGCCATGCACTTTAGACTTTGAGCCTAAATCGTTAAAAGAGAGCTCTTTATTCTCTATGTATCATATATTACGCAATATATTGTTTCAAACTACTAAAATGTCAATAAAAGTCTAAGTCTTTCAACATCACAGATCAGAGATCAAGCTCCCATAATTATAACCAGAGGAATCGGAGCACCCGGAGTAAACCCATGCCAACATGGGGAGAACATGCAAACTCCACCCAGAAATGCCAACTTGGCAGGACTTGAACCAGCAACCCTCTTTCTGTGAGGTGACAGTGCCAACCACTGAGCCCCTTTTTCACCCCTTGTAGAGAAATGTGAAAGATTTTATAATCTCAACACACAAATACCAAAATACAATGGATACAGTTGTTCTTTAAACCACATTAGCTGCACATACAGACTTAACTTCTCTGTCATATTGTTTGAATGCAAGTTGTTAAGCAATACTTATAAGAATTTTTTTACAAAGAAGATTGATATATATTGATAAATATATTCACACCAGTAAATCATCAATAAACAATGTTTAGCACAGACAAATAATTCTACATAAGTTAAAGAACATTATCATGCGCACACATTACATACATTCTAGATTTAAACTATTTTAAAAAGGGCCAGTTCTGTTCACATTTGAGTGTGAAAGGCTTTAAGGCTCGCCTGTCAAGATCATGGTGACTCAAACCTGGGTGTGGGTCTTATCTGTTGGTGGGCTTCAGAATGAGCTGCTTAAGGTTTATGTAACGGTGAAATGATCTTCCTCCATCTCTTAAACATAAATAAACAGAAAACCTGTCTATATAGTCATCTGAACACTGCTATTGTTTTTAGATTAAGAATGTTTACAATCGTATATTGTTAGTTAGGTTCTAGGTTAACTAGGTTCTCTAATAAATTTGTTTAAATCAAACATTGCCATACTTACTGTGATTATAATTAACAAGAAAATGAAACAAGCACACTCCAGCCCTAACTTCCTACCCACAACACTAACTATAAGCTTTCTAATCTTCAGAGGGTTGCCAGTTAAGAGATAAAAATCTCTTCCCCAGGGTACCTCAAAAAATGTTAAACTCAGTAGAGTAACTAGGCACTAGGCTCGGCCAGCTGGATTACTCTAAATATCCACTGTGATCTTTTTTTTTTTTTTTTTGCATCATAATATCAGGTGAAAGCATACCTTGCTATTCTAGATGACGTGCATGACATTCTAGTAAACTAGTCACTGCTGTTGTTTATTTGCTTGCTCAGGGGTGGTTTGCGGGCCGAAATCTGGCTGTATCTCAATTGACAACAAAATACTTCCTGTGGGTCGATGATGACTTTGAGTTCTTGCATGAGACCCGGATCGAGAGTTTTGTGGAGATTATGGAAGCAGTTCCAGACCTAGATGTTGTAAGTATAAAAAGATAAGAGTGTCAAGTTTTGGAGCATCAATATTTATGTAATTTCTCTCTGCTCAGATTGGCGGTGAGGTGTCTGGTGACCAGTTTTATTTCCTTCTGGAATATGAAGAGGGAGCTGAGCATGAAGGAGGAGGATGTCTAAGGCGTGTTAGAGGAGAGTTTCATCAGCCACTTTCAGGGTTTGATGGATGCCATCTTGTGGATGGTGTAACAAATTATTTCTTGGCAAGAACTGAAGCCGTGCGAAGAGTTGGTTTCGACCCGTTCTTGAAAAGAGTTGGTCACACAGGTAAGTCTACGCAACTTTTTCACAATCATCTTCATTTGCATTTGGGGGGTCATTTAACTGTACTCCATCCATTTTCATCCATCAGAGTTTTTCATCGATGGCCTTGGAAAGTTATTGGTAGCCACATGTAAGGGCTTCTGTATTGGTCATCAGACTCATCAGACATATGACAGCTATGAAAGTTACAGGAATCAAGAAAAAGAGGATGAAAAGAGAAAACTGGCTCATCACTTCTTTAAGAATTATCTCAACTGCATCAAGTACTGATATTTACATATTCAACTAATGTAATTTATTTCTGTGGACAAAATGTGAAATTCTGACAAAACAGAAAAGGACAGAGTCAGCTGCCATGAGGAAAGTGCATTACTTAAAGCAATAGTTCACCCAAATATGACATTCTGCCATCATTTACTCGTTTTGAGTTTTTTTAAAGTAAAGTTTTCCATCTGAAAAACTACAGTTTTTCAACATTCTTCAAAATATCTTCTTTTGTGTTCAACAGAATGAAAAAAAAAACTCAACCTGGTTTAAAACAAATGATGAGATCAACCTCATTTTTTAGGTGAACTGTCCATCTAAGTAAAGAGAATGTATTTAGCTGCCAAAAGCCTCTTTCAAAGAAAATCTGTTACTTGGAACTTGGTGGCCTTATTTTGCAAGCTCTTTTGTGGGATTAAACTAAAGTGCTACTGATTAGCAACTGGAGATGCAGTGATTTACAAATAAGTAACTAATAGGGATGTGCAATATTTATTAACTGCAATAGGGTATATGCAGAGCTAGTGTTTCTTCACATACTGATAAACTTCCGGTGAATGGTTAATGTGACTTTTTTTCCATTTTGTAAAGCTTCTGTTACAGCATTGATGTAATGTAATTAAAATACAATTAATTAAATAGGCATTCATTTAGTTGCTCAAGCATAAAACGAGACAAAAAGGCATTTACTCGCACACGCCCATCACTCACACTCGCACACGCCCATCAGAAACGGCAGGCTAGCGCAGAAGCTCCATTGAATATTCTAGGGTAAAATAAATGTTCAGATTTTAAAGATATGACGGAGAAAAATGTAATTAAATGCAGTGCTTTTTTGTACAATCTGAGACCCACTTTATTAAAGAAATGTTTTTTTAGAGAGATTAAAAAGATTTTTTTTAATCGGACCTTAAACTCGCCAATTTTGCGATTGCATACACATTAAAAGTCCTTTAGCATACTTCCGCATATACCCTAAAAATATTGCAGTTGTTGATTTAACTATAATGGAGATGGTGTTATCAAGTATGCCACACTTTGTAAAATTAGAAAATAGAAAACAAGCAGTAACTTCATATTGAAGTTTTTGCAAATGCAGATAGAATTATTAGCCAATAATTTAATTAACTACAGTAAAAATTTTCCGTTTTTGGTAATTTTTTTAAAGGTGCTGTATGTAAGTTTGACACCCAGTGGTTGCACTAGGTATTGCATTTCTAGACCAAAACAAACACAAGCATAGGTTGCCAGATTAAGGACCAACAGGAGCGAGCTGAAAGGCTTATTTAAATTGTGTTCTAAATAAAAGCAATGGCACGCGATAAAATGAATATTTTCATATTAAAAGGGGTTTTTGTTCTATCAACATTTCTATTTTACAAAGGGCTTCAATTTTCTGCAACAGCAAAAACTGACAATTATCACCTCAGGTAAACCTCATGTGCTTTATTTAGTGTTAAATGCTAATAATTTGAGTTTGAATGCCATTTTATATCACATTTATTGCCGTATACTGTTTATAAACAGATCTGTCACTCAAAACCAACACATATCAGTGATTCAGCATGTACATTTAATTTTGTTAAAGAGGTTTAATATGTATTAATTAGATTATAAACCTTACCATTTTGTGAGTAAGTGCGTATTCTATTCTTCTGAATGGCTGTATTTAAAATTCTGTCTAGTTTCATCTGGTGCAAACAGCTAAATTGCTTATTACTGCACATCCCATCATGTAGCATGTTGTTAGGACACGGGGTCACAAGGTAACCTGCTCACCTAATGTTTACGCTCGTGATATGTTTATATTATTTGATAATTAACAAGCTCATGTGGAACTCTGAGTCTGCATCTCATTTTGGAGTCTGCTACTGTCCACCGGAGGTCACATTTCGGTCACAAAAGCATGCTTTGAAAGCCTCCATCACTGAATAACTGAATGAAAAACGCTGTTTTCCTTCTTGGCAATCCAGAGTACCAAAAGAACCAAAACAAAGACAGCCATTCTGGCATGTATTAGACTTTTTCAAAGCAGAATATCTGATTTAAGCATTGTTTTTTTTAGATAAACACAAATGTTCACTTTGTTTCTTAAATATCTAACATATTATGGTATTTTTATACTTTAGTAAGGTCGAAAACTTACAAAAATCACCTTTAAAGACATTGTATAGTTTGGAAATATCACACAAGAGGGGCATTTTCAAGCTTGTGAGCACAATATGAAATGTGATTATTGTTTTTGAACTTTAAAAAAACATGCAATAACTCAGTAAGCACATTTTAGACTATTTTGTTTGTTGTATATTACGAATGAAAATGGCTCTAAACAATGACAGAGCATACAGTAACATTTGCTCATCTCAGAGCAGCATTGCACTCTAAAGTGAATCTTTTATATTGAAATCAAGAATCAATGTGAGTCAAATTTCAAGGATCTATTTATAATGACAATCATTTGATTCTATTGTTTTTAACGAATCAGCTGTCACTCATTAAGATAAGACTTTCCACCACCTACTGATGGTTTTAGCTTAAAATGTATCAACCCATGATCTGACCAAACTAATTATGGCACAAAAACACATTCAGCAAAAAAATATCCCCCCAAAATACTAAAAATCGTTTTTTTTTTTTAATATTTTTTAATCAAAATTGCACACTCTTAGTGACTGCCTCTTTTATTTAGAAGCTGAGACCTCTGCATGTTCTGCAGTATTGCACATTTCATAGCTATTTTCTATAATGACCAAAAAGAAAGGGAATGAATGTTGACCTAACCTCAGGTAAAAACTGAAAGAGAGAGCCGTAGATCGTTTTTAATAACAATGACAGTAGCTTAAGGGACTGTTTGTGTATTATTGTTACTTTATGAATGAATAAATCTATGTATTTATTGCCATATTTATTGACATTTTAAGTGTAAACTGGAGAACATTATCACTGCAGTTTGTCATGTGTTTAATATTTATTTTTTATGTTTACCATGTTTCATGTGTTCTCATTGTGTAAGCATTCTCATCTTAAAAACCGTTACACTGCATCATATCCAGCATGTGTCATTTATCATGTCAAATACAGTATATACAGGTGTCAATGTAGTTTTGGTACCACAGGAATTAATCTGGTTGTTGCTTCACTGTAAAACCCAACAGTCAACTTTATCAAATGAAATGAGAGTATTTAACTCAATGTACTGAAAGTTAATTCTACTTCTCATTTGCAAAGAGTTTTAAACTCAGTGTTGAGGGTAATGAGTTAATTAAATACCTTATTACTTCCTTATTAAGTTCACAGTACTCTTATACAGTAGATTAGTTAGACTCAAATGATTTGCAGTGATCGGTTTCCTTAATTGGTTTGAGTTACCTTAACTTTTTGGGTTTTACTGTGCTCGAATTGCTTCGTTTACTCAAATGGATTAAGTTCGCAGCACTCATTAGGATTAGTTTTTGAACTTAAATGGGTTGTTGCAATTGGTATCCTCAAATGGTTTGAGTTGTTAACTTATTTGGGTTTTACAGTGTAGATCAGATACATTTGCAGCTAGATGTTAAGGAGAGTTATTCATAATATGTATTCAATTTCCCATTAATTGTATTTTATTAATGTCTACCCCTACCCTAAACTCAACCATCACAGTAATGTAAAAACAGTAGTTGTACAGAGTATTATTTATGTTGTTTATTTAATTACTCAAATTATATTAACCAATGCCTATCTCCACCCCAACCATCACAGTACTGTCAAAATATAAACTATTGTTATACAGCGTGTAGGACTTTTTTTTCTCAATAAGTCATTCGGAAGCAGTAAGTAATTTCAAGTAAATAAAGCTACTTCAAAATTCTGGGTTTAGAACAGCAGTAAATCTGGCGATCAGGCAGTCCGAACCACCGTACAAACAAACTCACACAGTTTCACAGACTTCTTTTCTCCACTCCTCCCAGGGCATTTCTCCAGCAAATAGCAGTCAAGTCACCATCCGTAGTGAGGTAGAGCAGCTACACCTTCAGGTTGTGTGCCTGCACAGAAACATCAGAAAAACACACACACATTGTACCACATATAGCGAGGTCTCTGCCTCCTGTCCATTACTTGCCAACCGTATCTCATCATCACATATTTTACTTCTGAGTCAGCTGCGGTGATATAAAGCAAAGCCATTGAGAGAGAATGAAAGTTTTAAGAAACTGGGTTATACGAGTTCAAGCTTCATGTACACATACTTGAAAACAGTTTACAAAATAAATAGATAATAAAGTCTGGTTTCAAATAAAACATCACAATCCTCCAAGTGTCACAAAAATGATGCTATACTGATGTGTTTAATGCATGTACTGTTAACATTTTCCTGTAAAATCTACATTAACTTACTGGCAGCAGTTCACCAGTATATTACTGTAAATACTGCAACAATATTTACAAATATAGCACCTTTTATCCTGCAGTATATGTATTTACAGAATTGTAAGTATATCTTTACTGCAGTATATACTGTAATTTTCACAAAACAACTTTAAAATACAGTAACATACTGCATGTAAGTCAACAAACGTTAACAGTGTGTCTATGCTATCTGCTAGGGAAAGGTGTTCTACAAGTGACTATAAACAAAGAATCCCTTTATAGCAGCTGACAGAAAAGATGATATAACTTTGCTCCACATTTCACAGTGAGAATCAAGAGTGAGAGTGACATCTTTGAGTCTAATCTCTTGGATTAAGACAGTCAAGACCTTCTGATAGGATTAGCCAAGGTGATGCACTCAAGACAAGAGGCTTGTAGCCTGAATAACAGATCACTCAGATGAGGCTTTTAATCGACACAGACATCACGCAGGTGAAAGAGCAAATATAAGTTCCTTCGGGTTGAGGGTCAGGTATTGAAGTTTTCTATTATTGTGGATTTCATGCTGATTGTATTTAAATATCAGCCTAGAAACGCTGTTTGGTTTCACTTGTCGGCTTGCACTGACCTACAGGTCAACCATGTTGTGGGACAGTAGACAAGATCAAGGAGATCTTTACGTCTCCTTATTACTAGTCTGTGCGTCTCTCACAAGGGTTCAGAGGGCACATTTGTGATCCTTGCCTTAAAAAATTGTCTGCAAAATACTTGAGTAACATTATTTTTACGTTAAGAAAACCTTCACCTCCAAGAGCTTCTCTTCTGTTTTATATTACTGCAGAAAGAGACATTTTGCAAATTAAAGAAAAGGGAATTAACCAGAATAGACATTATCAATATATTCTGTCTCAGATATCATTTGTAAAACTATTATAACAGTCAAATTTTATTTATTTACTTCATGTGTCAAAATCAGATGTTTTCTTTACTGCTGTTTTCTTACTGCTTTTTTCTTGTGTTTAGTGCATTTAAAATGAAAGTGCACAGCATTTTATTTACATATTTTTCTAAAACAACTTCGAAACCAAAGACACAGAAGTGTGAATGGCTTTGGTTCATTGTCAGTATAACAAAATTAATCAGATGAAAGTAAATATCACATTTTGTCTCTTATTACTTGCATAAACAATATGTTTTTGTGCAGTTCACTTAACGGCCACCAGTGTCGCTAATAATAACAACAACAACAAATCTGTTCTCATACTCCACCTAAAATTGTTCCAAACCTGTATTTTTTGCAGTTTTTTCAGTTCATTGACTTTTTTAGTATCAAATACAATGCAAGCCAAAGGTACAGTGGCTGAGAGAGAGAGAGCTCAAATGCACTGCAAGTTAAGAAAACACTTACAAATTGAAAATACGACACCGTGCACACAAATTCTCAAAACACGTGCAAATACAGACATTCACTGCAAAGTGCAGACCACAATGGAAATGTGTTGGAAACCCCAAAAGTAGATGAACCCTGCCGCTTCCTATTAGGAGTCAATGGTGTTGTCGGAGATTTGAGTGGTGATTGTTTTTTGTTTGTTTGTTTTTTTTACATCCTAAATGGGCGATTTTAGGATTTTCATATATACAAAGCCTAATATTACATTTATAAGTAGTGATTTAATAGTAATACACTTAAAATGTCTGTTTAATATGGGTTGTATACTAGTATCCCACTGTATTGCATAGACCAGCATATTTGAGTTCTGAATAAGCCAAATAGGCTCAACCCACCTGTTTACTGTAGTAAAACACTTTCCATATTCAAGTGCATTTTTTTGTTTCCATGTATTAAATAAATAAACTGCCACTTTTCTAATTAAATGCCACACATAAATATATGTTTTTAAACTTACAGACAAATTCACATATTTCACGATCTGAATGATGATAATAGATAAGAAGTGTTTTTTAATACTAGACAACACTTGATGTTTCTTTCTCTGTCAGTGACTCAGTGACAGTTAAAACGAGTACATTCTCTAAGTGGTTCTGTCACTGTGTTTGATCCTTTCTGTGCACGACTGTATGGTATCGTTAATAATAAAAATTTCTACAAGTTTGGAACAAATTGAGGGTGAGGATTTTAATTTCTAATATAATTAACTTTTTAATAAAAGTCTTTTTAACGTAGAAAATGTGCAATGTATACACTTGAATGTTAAGTAAATACTGTGTACATGTATATATATATTTACATAATTTATTTACATTTGCACTTCTTTCCTGGTATTAAAATAAATGCATAAAATTTGTTTGCTCTGACCACAAAACCAGTCTTATGTTGCACAGGTACATTTTTGGCATTAAATAAAATATAGATTTTATGGATACAAAAATATTGTATTGGAAATTATTATCATTATAAATTGATTTATTTATCATGTTTCATGAAGATATTTTTTAAATGTGCTACTATAAGTATATCAAAACTAAATGGTTAATTGGTAATAAGCATTGCTAAAAAGATGTCTTCTCAATATTTTGATGTTTTTTAATCCTCAGATTCCAGATTTTCAAATAGTTATATATCAGCCAAATGTTGTACTATACTAATAAACCATATATCAATGGAAACCCGATGTATAAAAAAAGAAAGAGACCCTTATAATTGGTTTTATGGTACAGGGTCACATAATTATTATACAATTCATTAATCCCATTCATCCTACAGTCATTAAAAATCTCCATATCAGTCTGCTTGAAAGGGTTTTAACAGGCTGATTGACTTGTTTATAAGATGCCTCACACATGCAGTCAGTCAAGTCTAGGCCATCTGCTTCTTAAAACAGAGCCACTCACCTAAAGTCTACAGAGGTATGTTATTGTCTTTGAGTTGACATATTGACCTTTAACATGTACAGAAATGTCCTCTAAAGAAAATCCACAGTTTTCCATGACAAAAGATTTTACATAAAAGCAAATCTGGTAAAAAAGAACAGCCAGTACAAACTGGCATGTAAACCACTCTGTCCTGCTTCAGGGTGATTTGACCTCCTTAATTACCAAGATGACTTAAGCTGATCAGAAATCTGGATGAAGGAAGTGTGTTTGTTGGGGATCAGTCTCCACCCCCACTTCACCTCTGACCATCTGGAGAAGATCCTGAAGAGACAACAGCATCAACCCCAAGAGCTCAGTTCATCGCCAGACCACAAACCCTACGCATGGTCCCTTAAAGTGCAGATAGTGACCTGTTGCCTCCATCGGCTGACCCACTGACCAATAGGTAAGCGAAACATAACAGTGCTCTTGTCATACTATTTGTATACCAATATAATAGTTATACACCAAGAAAAGTAGCCTTGTGATAGTAAACATGTAACTAATGCTATGTTATGAATGCCATCAAATTGAATTGCAACTTATTCATGGTAAAACTGATTTATCATTGTTAATCACATTAGTATGCTTTTCCATGCTAAATGTGCTGAGTTACAGTACATGTTTAAACATTATGCTTACCTGGGAAATGCTAATGGTCACCTGCGTCATTTTAAGTGACATCCCAGCTAACAATTTTGTGTTTTATAGATGTCTAATAGACATCTAAACATAGAAAGTTTGGCTTAGACAAGGCTAATCTTGGGCTGTCTGTGAAACATCTAAAAATAGCCCAAAACTATACTAGTCGTCAAATAGATAGA